CTCTTTTTTGAGGCTCCTTTGTTAGAAAAAAGGTGGTTTCTCCCTTTTAAATGCAATTGAAAACACTCGAGGTGAAGAAAGGAAAAAAATTAAACACCCTACGGAGAAAAGGAAGAGCAGAGAGTGAAAATGAGAGCAAGGAGAGTGTTTTTCTTTTCTCTTTTATAAAAACAGTTAAACTAAAAAAAGAGAAAGTGGAGCACCTTGTTAGTGTACTGCTTCGAATTCCACCAAGTTGTAAATGTATGCATTTTATATCCCTGTATATCAGTGCAATCAGGGGAAACTTTACTTCCTTACTTATTAGCAATCACAAAAAAGGAATAGAGCCTAAAGTGAAATGAAGAGTCTGACCTTTCAAAGTCTTAAATATGAAAGCAGTCAGCAACAAACATAGAATTGAAGGCTTTGTCAGAAGTCAAAGGGCAGTTTGTTGGAAATCCTACGATTACTTGTTAACTGTTGCTGTAGGTTCTGTCTGGCACTGTTAAAATCACAGTGTTAGAAGACAAAAATAATTTTACCCTGGGAAGAGTAAAGGGTAAGGTTTTTCCTTATTTTATGTCATCACTCTGCATGTATCTGCCGCTGATGACTGCCTCTGACCACAAAATAAAGCTCATGCAAGCTGACATCGTCAAATGCCTCATAAACAATATGCATGATTTTATCTATCTGCACTGATAAGACTTCCTTACAGTCAAACAATGACCTACACTCTAATCTTAAAATGGTTTCCTCAGGTTACTCATACTATCATAAAGAAAGTAAAAAAGGAAAGTAAAAAGGTCATTAGATTCCTCCAAAATATCACACAATAACACTGTGGTGCAATGCTTCTCAGACTTAATGTGCAGATGTACAAATCTGATTTTTAGATAAGGTCAATTGTCTAAAACAACTGGTAATGAGCAAATTCCTTTTTTATTAAACTTGCTTAGAAGTTACAAGTCAAAGGAAGCAAATATTATACTTTACATTGTTTTGGTTTAACCTAACCTGTTTTTATTTTTAAACATAATGAGCCCTGAAATTTTATAAAGAAAATCTAATTTGATCAACTTAATTACTTTTCATGTCTAAACAAAATGTTTTCCTCGCCATGCAAGAATAAATAAAATAAATAAAAATTAAAATAACTTTGTGCTGTTTCTTGTGTTAAAAAAGTTCCAGATGCCCAGAGATAAAAATATAATACAAGCAACCATAGCGTTGTATTTGACAATGTCTGCTTTTAATAAGTTTCCTAAACATTTTCCCAGTTTTAATTTTCAAATCAAATTCATTTTTCTCATTTTGTCAGAATTCAATGTTTTATAAACAACTTAATCTAAAAAATAATTAAATTCATCCAACTCAAAGAAATTACCTAAAACAATTACCTTGTTTTAGATGCATTTAATGTGTTTTTTTTAAATATCTTAAGCAATTTTGATTAAAAAGTTGCACATTTTATATACAATTTAAGACAGTTACTTTAGTAAAGAAAAGAAAAAAACTATTCAGACATGAACTTTAGGTTCACCCAATGTTTCATCAGTATTAGATGGTCTGCAATAACATTATAATTAAATCCACCAAATTCAAGATAACCATGTTCATTTTTTGTGTAATTTTAAAAGCAATTGATAATCTAATTCAACCAGGTGCTTCTTGACAGTGTTCTCTAATCCAACACAAGATAGAGATTTGCTGTAATATTCTAACAACACTCCACCAAAAACACAGATAGGTTTGTCCTTTATTTCTAAAGGACTGACTTGACTTATATCCAGTTTCAAAAGTTGTAATAAATAGACATCTTCTTCTGTGAGGATCTTTGCACAGGGAGATGTTTGGCTAGGTGCTAGGCTGACATTGGCTTGCTTCCTGTCTGTTTTGATACAGTATGACTTATTGATAATCGAGCTCATTGGAGGTTTTATGTGTGATTCCAATTAATGGACACAATTTACAGAAAGAGTTATGCTTCTCCCTTATAAACCAAGAGTTTTGCTTTGAACATTGTAATCATTATTGACCAGTGTTATAGCAGCATACTGCACTGTGCTCAGGTCACTTCAACATTGCTGTTGGTAGAGGATCAGTTGAATGCTCACATAAAAATAAGGTGTAGACTGGGTCTGGATTGACTTTCCTTTTGGTGCAGATTCAGATTAGAGTTTGAGAATTGTAGCTGTAGAGTTTCCAAGACAGGAAAACATAAAATGATCCAAGATAGGAAAACAGAAAAAATGTTAAGACTATGAACAGTAGTCAAAGCTCTCCTGTTCAAATGTAAACACTTCATAGGAGGAAAAAACCTAAGAAGTAAAAAAAACAAAAACACTTGCAACCAATGGCAATTATTTGACACGTGACAAGAACATATACATTAATTTTAAAAGGTATTGGCATATCCCAATATGTATGGGCTGCAAAGATGATAATAAGTAATTACAGTGTTTGACAAGTTCCAGGGTGAACACTTCATTGATCCTAAAATAGACAGCCGCTCTATGCCACTACTTGTAATGTCCAGAGACATAAATGTGTTTATAATATAGGCATTTAATTTGTAAATCCTAGTCTGTTAATCTGGGTTGAGGTGTGGGGACTGCAAAAATGCACTTTAGAGCAGGGGTCAGGACCCCCCCAGGTGGGCATAAGACACTAAGTCGGGGGTCTCCAGATGATTTTCAGAATAATCCTGATATGATCTCTGAGCTGTATGGAGGGCCAAAAGGGACAAAAGTAGATAAATATGTCATGAAATAAATGTGAATATCCCATTAAATAAATAAGTGTACAATGAAATAAATAAATGCACCATTAAAAATGGTATGTACCATTTATTTATTTAATACATCATTTAATAATTACATATACCATTGAATTTTTAATTATGCAATGCACAATTAAATAATCACCCATTAAAAAAAATAAATACAAGTTTTAAATTATGAAATTAAAATAATTAAATGCATACATATATTTTAAATTAATTAATTTAAAAATACATTTAATTATTTTACTCTGTATAGAGTGAAATAATGAAATGTAGTTTTCGGGGGTCACCAGGTCACCAGTAGAGTGTCACCAGTCTATGGCACTGTTATTGAGGGGGTCACAGGCTGAAATGGTTGGGAACCCCTGCTTTAGAGCATAGGGGTAAAAGGGAATACATCAAATAGCCACACCTAAAGGCTTCATACTCCACAAGAACAGATACATTTGTTCTCTCTCCCATTGCTGCAAGAACAAAATAATTTTATAATGCTTGTGCGGCCCTGGCTTGGGAGTTCCTGCAGCTTGTTTTTGACAAATCATCTGGGCAGAACCTTTTCTCTTGCATGGTAGTCGACAACTATTATGAACAAATGCTGCAGTGGGAGGGACTCATGAGGACTTCCCAAGAGTCTTTGACGAGTTCTTAGGAAGTATGAAATGTCCAGGCCCAGAAAGAACTGTTGTTGTTTTTTCTATCATGAGTAAAATAACAAATTTCTCTTCTTGTGGACTATGTATTGGCCATGCCCGAGACACTGAAGCCAGATATGATGATTTCCTCCCAGGAGTTTCTGTGTCCACTGCCTTTACTGTGCCCAGTCTGCCATCATCTATTCATTTGAGCTGTTCTAATTTCTCAAGTGAGGATTGAAAACAAACTCTTTTTCCATTATTTTCTTTGTTCATTTAAGTACCATCCAGCTGACTAAAATTAATATTTATGCTAATATGCTGCACCTCTTTCTGCCTCTGCTTCACATAGGAGACGGGAGCCAGGCTAGAATTAATGACATTGCATCGGCGGTAATGTTTGCCGCGTTTCATTAGCTAGTATATCTTTAATTTCCAATAAACACAGTAATTAGGGGAGGTATCCGCGGAGACAGGTCCTGGCAGGCTGCTGCCGCGGTAACAGCTGTAACCGAATCTGCACAGAGGTATCAGCAGTCAAGGAGGACTTTCAGCTTAACCAAATCCTGCCTCGCAGTTGGAAGAGCCTCGATTCAATTATATGAAAATGAAGACCACCAGAGATGTGTGGCTATTTGCAGAAAAGTTTTAGAAGGAGAGAAAGAAAAACATTCATGAATACATCAACATTCCTGTATGTGCTTGTATGATATTAAGATATGAATTGCATCCATGCATTAAAGCTTTCAAACAGCAAGATAAATAAAGACTGATAAAAGAAAAAATCTAAGCAATTTCTCTCTAGGTTCATTTTACGAAGGCCTACTTTTCCAAGCAGTACTTAAGAGAAAAAGGAAAACAGAAGTAAGTGTAAGGCAGAATGTTTGAAAAATCTGCTCGTCACATATTACACGGTCTCTTCATCACAGCGAGCACAAAGGACAAGAGAATGGATTAATCCTACACATTATAGTCAAAGGATTGGTAAGACTCATGTACAGAGAGGCAATTTACCAACCTGACCTTTCAATCTTTAAAACGCTCTACATATCCTTCCCTTCCCCCTACGCACACATACTTTTGAATCCTCTCCTCCAACACAAAGTACTGCAATCATCTGAGGACTTCTTCATCTAAATATGTCTTCATGAACACAGTGTGATAACAATGGAGGAGAAAAGACACAAAAGGACTAAAAGGGACTGACAAGATGGAGGAGAGACATATAGAAAGATACAAAAAAGCTGGAATTTCTGCTGAAAAACAATTGCTTGCCAGATAACAAGATGTGCTTGTGAAGGAAAGGTATGAAGTAATGACGGTTGACACTGCCTGCAATTTCCGTACTGACCTCACACTCACAGTGTTATGTCTAGTTGGAGACAAATACTGAACCACAAAGAGCTAATGAGCTGTGTTAGGTAGCTACTCAAACCCAGTCACCCTTGTATATAGCATTGATGCAGAAAACAAACTGTATGGTAATGACCTTAAAAGGTCTGAGGGAGCTTAGTGTACGATTTTGCTTTCTAGTTTGAGAAATTAGGCACAGCAGCATTGGAGCTTTTTTCAACAATTTCTTTCAAATAAATTCATATAGGGGCTGCACGGTGGAGCAGTTGGTAGCACTGCTGCCTTGCAGAAAGAAGGTTCTGGGTTCAATTCCCAGCCTGGGGTCTTTTTACATGGAGTTTGCATGTTCTCCTCGTGCATGCGTGGGTTCTCACCGGGTACTGCGGCTTCCTCCCACAGTCCAAAGACATGTCTGTTAGGTTAATTGGTCACTCTAAATTGCCCTTAGGTGTATGAATGAGTGTGTGCATGGTTGTTTGTGTGTTGCCCTGCGATGGACTGGCGACCTGTCCAGGTTGTGCCCCGCCTCTCACCCATAGACTGCTGGAGATAGGCACCAGCTCCCCCGTGACCCACTATGGAATAAGTGGTCGAAAATGACTGACTGACTAAATTCATATATATTAATTGAAGTTACTTATTCATGCCTTATTCATGGCATCTGAACTGGATAAAGTGTATGTCCACATCCCTCCAGAGTCCATTCTGTGCCTCTCAACTTACAAGTGTCTTTGGTATGTCACCTGTACTTTGACGTAAACATTGCAAGCAGCTAATATTGTGTGGTTTTAATCGTACGTCAGTAATCTTTCTGTATGGTGTTATGCAAAACCTAGTATCTGTGCTGCTATAAACTCAAAATCAGGAATTAAGAAATGAGATGAGCTTTTATCGTTTACTGGACATTGTCACAAACCAGTTTAATATCTTTTATGGTTATTTTCCAAGAGTAAAAGTGGTTTATTCTTGTAAGGTAGTCTCAAGGCCTTTACCTAGACCCAGGTCTAAGCCTATCATGATGTGAGGAGGCAATGTTGGTTTTAAATATAGAACCATCATGTACATATGCAATAAAACCCAAGCTGCTTAAATCTTAATAAAACAAATGAAACAAAATGAATTCCAAGTATTATTGTTTTCAGTAATATGTCAGCTAACTGCTTGTCTGAAAAAAGGAGCTTTAATCAGGTAGTGCTTTGTCCTTATGCATGGCAATTATTGGTGCGAATATAAACTGTGGAAATCAGGACTAAATCGATAAGTTACTATTAAGTTTTACCATTGAGCTCCCATTATCACAGGTAGGGATGACAAAACAATGCAGTGCTATTATCTGGGTCAAAATCATTAGTTCATTATTGATTCTGCTTTATAGTGTCATATCATGTTAAGAAGCACAATTAGGCTCATTATTATTTTCAAGCCAAAATAACTCCTCGAAATATGTCACAGTTAAATCTCAACTGTGTTGATGAGATAATAGTTCAAGTGATTTATTGTATCCGAGCTGTTTTCGAAAACACAAGAGGACCTGATGATGTTCTGTGACAGCCCACTTTGTGACTTGAATACTTGTTTGTATGATTCTAAAGTGGGCATCTCAGACATGAACCCTCAGGCTAAAATCGAACACCAGGCTAAAATCTGGTGCTTATTAATTTTATTTTATTTTTTTCTAAATCAGTGAGGACACATCTTAATACTAGATCCAAACAGGGTCTTTGCCTAATGTGAAGTTTAAAGAACTTGTGCAAAAATAAAATAAAGCAACAGTTTGGTCAGTGAAAGAAATTCATCTGAATCTTTTAATTAATTTCCAGAGTAAAACAACCATTACATTATTTTTGTTTTATGTCTAAAAGCTTTAACAGTTACATGAATGCATCCAAGTAAAAAAAATTTATAAAAACATGTTTTAGTTAAAATAAAAATAAAAAAGGTTAGATGTCTAAACTAGGACTATGATGGATACATAAAGTTTCACTAACTATGATGCAATTTTCTTAAAATATTCATCTATTTAACATATTTTTCTCTTCTGTCTAAATACTGTTGGAGCCTTAATCTCCATACTCCTCACTAGTATACCATCTGCACATGCTATGTAAAGGTCATGCCTTAGTGGTTTTGTCTCAGCTTGACTGTCTCTCCCACTGACCTCTTCAGGATCACACTCTGAAGCATGTTATGTAGGCCACATTTATGCTTCCCAGGAACTACCCTACATCTCACAGTCCACCTTTGTCTACCTGCATGCATGATACATAATGTCAGATATCCCCATATACCGGAAATATGCTATGCCATGTTTAGCTATATTGGCTTACCAGTTCTGTTCATACAACAAGAAGAGGCAACGTCTCCATCTGGTGCCATAAATTACTGTTGCTGACCTTCTTCATTCTCGGAAAGTGAGAAGACAAGCTCACTCTCTTTGGAAAAACTTGCATCCTGAGTTAGAATGCTACAGACTCAAGCTTTGCCTCCTCACCCTCCCATACCAATTGATCTTTGAGTGAGCATATGGCCTGAGATTTGACAAAATGCAGCATCTCGGCAGGCTGGATTAGGAAAGGAGTAACAGGCTGCGAGGGATGGTGATGGGCACTTTAGTGGAAGCGCGCCGTAATCTACCCAGCCAGGCACAGCACAGATGCCAGGCCAGGCAGGGAGGCTCACTCCTCGTTAAGGGTCCATTACAGTAAAGTCCTCGTTAAAGGAACACCATTGTGAGGAGAGAGTGTCTGGTAGATAAGCTATAATGGACAGGAAAGATTTAATTAAATAATCAACAAATAGACAAATAGCTTTACCATTTCCAGCATGATCAGGTCTCTATTTTCTCAAAAAAATGCAGGAGGACCATTTTGCATCCAAATAACTGAAACAATTTAGCCTGAAAACTGATTAGTTGTATTGTCCCAGTTCCAGACTCCCCCACATCCATTGTCCCTTTCTACCTCTGAGTGCATTTCACCCAGATTTGGTCTCCTGCTGCCTTCTGACAGACCTATTTTCGAAGATGCTTTTGTTAGCCAGGAAGCAAGATGTGGTGAGGTAAGGCAGGGAGCTGTGTGGAACTCAGCTGAACACTGGGGATAATGTTAACACGGGACTCCAGTACCCATGACAAAAGAAGTTACCCTTACTTGTTCTTTCTGTGTCAAGCGATGGAATATAAATAGGTTTCACTTCTGTTTAGCATTGTTGCAGTGGTTAAAATTTGAGACGAACCAAAGTAACATCAGAAGAAGACTAATATCAATGTGTAAACTGTGAAGAATAAATGTTTGCCAACTATTCCATATACTGATTGAAGACAAAATTTCAACTTTAAATTTGCTGAAAATGATTCAAGAAAAAAATGTGTGAGCTTAAAGATTTGATTGTGTGCCAAATTTTGATGTCTAGATGGAGTGGATCATAGCATATGTGCAGCAATTGTGGGGTGTTTCCAGTTTACTAAGGTGGGTGTCCATTGATGTGCTCTCAGTAACGAATGACAGGGCCTTAAGCAGCCCAGGTTCATGGATCCATGTTTGGGGCCAAGGTTGGAGAAATTGTTTTAGTTAAAAATGTTAAAATGCATTGCAATTTGTTGTGAATAGGGCTGCGTAACAGAGCAGGCAGTGTGGAAATTTGCTGTGGCCTCTTCTGGCAGAATAATGTGTTCTATCACAAAACAAAAATGGTCAGGAATGGTTTAAGAAACAAAATACAGGGGTTGGACAATGAAACTGAAATGTGATGTGGATCCTTCTTGGTGATATGCTGACAATACCCTGGATACCGTGACTCTTGATACATCACAAAGACTTGCTGTCTTGGTCACAGATGCGCCAGCAAGACGTGCACCAACAATTTGTCCTCTTTTGAACTCTGGTATGTCACCCATAATGTTGTGTNCACACTCTGCTCTTACTGGTGCAATGTGCAATCAATGAAGACTGGCTACCAGGCTGGTCCAATTTAGCCATGAAACCTCCCACACTAAAATGACAGGTGTTTTAGTTTCATTGTCCAACCCCTGTACTGATCGTTTAGCACAGTGAATGACCTAATCTGAACACTGGGACAGGGAGTGAATATTGTTTTTACATGTTGAATAGTTTAAATCCAAATTCCATCACTAAAGTGACAGGTGTTACAGTTTCATTGTCCAACCCCTGTATGTTCTAATTTAGATCAAAAGCCCGCCTAAAACCTGTAACCCTTTATTTCCAGTCCGATGCTTTTTAAACTGAGCTATCAGACAGGATACCTACATCTATACCTGCAATATATATAACCAAGACCTTTCACAATGTATTATTCCAGCGCTTTTATTATTGTTGCCTTGACTTGGTTTGTAATTTGTCTCTCATTGCTGTGTTATTTCTAGGTGTAGTTCATCTTGAATATTCCAAATCGTGCCCTACTGACATTTTTTTTTTTTGTGGAGACCAACTGCACTTCTTATCTGATGATATCCAGAAATTATCTTGTGGTCAATGCAATGCCTGTAAAGCTCCATTAACAACACTTTTGATAAAATGCATTTCTATCCACGAGTTCAGTTTAAATATGTAAATAACTTGTCACATTTACTCTTATCTCAATTACTTGGGCTCACACCAAAAAAAACAGAATATTTCCCAGATACTGAGATTTTTACCACATGTCAAGACTGATGGGGAACCTACAAATATTAGGCAGGTTGCATAATCAGTATATAGGCATCTACAGATAAAATGATTATAAAATAACCACCAGAAATGTTTCAGCATAAATGTCTTGTTCATAAAAGTTTATAAAAAGTGCAATTTCAAAACTCTCATACTAAAATTGTGTCTGTAAATGAGAAAGTAATTCTGTAGAGAGTTTCCAAACTTTGTGTCTCCATTGGCAGAAGAAAATAAAATTGCCTCAAAGTGAATTTAATAATCAGTCTAATCATGATGTGTCTATCAGTTTTTTAACAAAGTAAAAAGCCTTGGAGCATTGTTTTGTTTAAAGTGTAAAATGATGTCAGCCGACAATTCAATTTGTTTACAACAATAAGATTTAATGCTCAAGTGCATTTCAGTAATATTTCATATAGACATTTTGTGCAGTGTGGAGGCTGGAGGGAATTCTCTGGAGGAGCACGTAGTCTCAACTTATGTAGGGAAGATTTTTTTTCCCCTCTCTCTTTCCAGTGTAACAACCTCACTAAGCAATTCATAGCTGCATATGCTGCTGCTTAAAGCACCATGGAGATTTATGCCGATGTCAGCTCACAAGGGTGCAATCAGGAATAAAGATCCCATAAACCCCTCTGATGTGTCCACAGGTACAGAAGTACTAG